TGTTTATATGAAAACAAAAGTGTAACGATGTCCAGAAGGTGGCGGTAATGCACCTGAAGCTGTTTGCCAACCGCTACACAAGGATAGAAGAAGCAGCAGCAGCAGGCTGTGGTGGCATCGAGCTCTAACGGAATTTTCTCCCGGAGAATGAAGACGTTGCTGACGTCACTGCTCCTCGTGCTCGGTAGGAAAGTCCTCTGACCCTGTTTGAAGGCGCACGCGCTCACTCGGGTGTGTGCCTTCCAACAATAAGACGTGTAACGTGAGTTTACTGTGAATCCGCGCGCCGTCCTGAACTTCACCATGTGATGAACCGTGTGTGTCTGCGGCCTGGTGGGGGCGCTGTTTCTCTGTATCCGCTCTTCACGACGCACTGGAGCAAATATTTAACCCTCACGTCACCCGGCTGAGGGCACCGCCCTGTTTGTCGGACAGTGATGGTGCGGAGCTGGACTCTTAGCTGGGCTGTTGCTGCTGCAGAGTTTGTGTCATGTTGTGTTTTTAACTGGCAGCGAGTGAAGCTGTAGATCATTTAAACATAGGATACAATTCATCTTCTCTATAAATCCTCTTTTTCCAGCAACACTGAAAACAACCAACTGTTAAAACAAACAAGCAGCACAAAACAATATGAAGCAGTATAGTGGACGCCATTGTTGACAGTCACCTCATGCACTGTTTGTATATCCATGTCCACACGTGCTTCAGTGGATGGCTGCACATATTTTGCACAGTTAGCTGCTGTTGTGTAAAAGCAGCAGGTGTCCACAGAGATGTGACTTAAGATGAGGATAAAAAGTAAAAAGCATCTTTTCTTCTGTTTTCTGCTTCATGTGTGCTGAGTCAACAATGTTGTGTTGATTAGACGACTAAGCAGCGTCTAAATGTCAGGGTTTAAATGTCAGGGTTTAAATGTCAGGGTTTAAATGTGAGGCTGTCAAGACGTCGAGCAGGAATTTGCAAAGTGCTGAAAGCTCACAAAATCTCTTCCTTCTCTTTTCAACAAGCTCAGAAGCTGTTTTTCACCTCAGTGTAAGGAAGTCGTCACTAACCTCTGATGCCTTTCAAACATCCGTTGGTTTTGTGTAATTACTCATTGTGTGGCTGTGATGCACGTTGTATGTTTGTAACTTTCTGAAGCCAACTGAAACACTCAGTTTGTGTTCTTGTTTGTGTCTCCTGCCAGTTTCCCAGCATGCCCTGACTGCGGTGGTGGAGGTGTATGAGGGCGTAATGTCTGTCCTGTTGCCCTGCAAGCACTCAGGTTTTATCCCTGAGGATGACCCCACAGTGCTGTGGACTCGTAGTGATCTCAATCCTAAATCTGTCCATGTGAGACGAGAAGAAGCAGA